AAATCTTTTTATTCCCTCTTTATTCATGTTACTGTTAGGAATCTTATCTTGAAGAATATTTTTGGAATCCACAGTTCAATGTTTAGCTTTGTAAATTCTTATGAAATTATTGGAATTAAGAGGCTGTCCTCTAGAAAGATACTACAAAGTAATAATTATATATAGTATCTGAATGCTCTAATCCAGATGGAACATATACATCACCAAGTGCTGGAAAGGAATTCCAGACAGATAAAATAACAGATAATTGACTTATTATGATTATTTTAAAGAAACCATTGAATTAAAGATTCTTTGCTTACTGGTTTGAGGATTGGGATATGGAAATTAAATTCAAGGATGCAACAATTTTATATGAATAAGAGACTTTGGTATAGGAAACAGAATTTGGATTCTGTCCAATATATCTGATGTGTTACATCCACCATCTATTCTGATACAATAATTATAAAACAAATGCATCAGGGGAAATATATGTATTCTTTATTATAGAAATATGAAACACTATATGGAAGACTTATTTCAAAGATTCTTTCAACTACTGTTTATTCAGCTTTAATTGGTTTAACATAGGATCACTCTGCAAGTGATTTTAACATGGTGTCAGAAAATCAACAATCTGGTGGACATAAAGGTTTCCAAAGAGTAAATGTTACCTTTTGTCCAGCACTAATCACCATGTGTTGACTTAAAAGTTCTCCCTGTTGATTTCCACTGAATCATTTCAAAATGCTCCAAAAGCCCTGACGCAGTTGTCATCACAGTTAGATCATGTCATTGGAGAGAGACCTGGGTTTTTCCTCATCCCTTCTGATATCATCTACCTGTTGAAGAGGCCTGGGGAAGGATTCAGCTCTTTGAGTCAACCTTGTTTCATGTAATATGATTCAGTGATAGCATTTCACCAGTGATGACTCTAAGATTCTGCCTCACATCTGCAATTTATTTACCTTATAGAATTACAGCAAATGAAAATTTGTGAACCATTTAGAACATGCTAAATGTGCCACATAAATGATAAACCATATTGTTGGTTGTAGGAATGGATTAGATTTAGTTTATGAGAGAACAAACTAGTTATCCCTTTCTTCAATTTCAATTTTTTAATGCTCCAGTTCATTTTGCAGATTTTGAAACACAGTGTGCCATTTTATGCCGGGTCTTGTTTCTTTTGTTAAGTCTAAAAAAAGCCGATTATTCCATATCTTATGGTAACAAGATTTTAGTGGGTCCTGTCAAATGTATTGCTGTTAAAACCATTATGCAGTGATTGTCTAACTTGTTATGTTCTTATGAAGACTAAATATATATAAATCGAAAATTACATTCAAATTACATTCAGTTACAAAGAAAATAAAATCATTGTAAGTAGGATTTTGATAGTGGACATGCAACATGCTTGATTTATAACATTTGTTAGCTCCATTAGCTTATTAATCTTCTGCTTATGATAGAAATGCACAAAATGCTCTGAATTATTACAGCTTATTTAAGTAAGCAGTGAGTACCAATCATGGTGTATCTCTTAGCTGGAATGTTTCTTTGAGCTGTAAGTACCCAATTTTGTTTTTAAGTAAATGAAACTTTTGTAATTGGCTAAATCCACCATAGCAGTCATTTTATAAATACTGTAGGCAAATATCTAGCAGTCATTTTATGTGAGGATACATAAAATGCTTTCCAGATGTGCTAGCATCTCTCTCCTTTAAACTGTTGTTTCCTATATATAAGTCCATTATGGTCAATTTGTTACTAGTAGTAGCTTTCCAGGACTTCAGACAGAGGACTTTCCCATCATCTACTACTATCTTATCTTTTTAACTGGAGATCCCAGGAATTAAACCATAGTCTTTTTCCAGGTACTCTACTATAGAGCTATGGTGACACTTTAATGTGGTATGTATACCCTTGCACAAAAAAGCTCCCATTTCCATCATTCTCATAATAAATGTGTTTGTGTGAGAATGTGTATGATAGATAGATAGATAGATAGATAGATAGATAGATAGATA